TGATGTTGGGGATGGGTGTGATGGGGGATGGTGATGTTGGGGATGGGTGTGATGTTGGGGAAGGGTGTGATGTTGGGGATGTGATGTTGTGAAGGGTGTGATGTTGGGGAAGGTGTGGATGTTGGGGAAGGTGTGATGTTGGGAAGGGGTGTGATGTTGGGGAAGGGTGGATGTTGGGGAAGGTGATGTCAGAGGTGTAGGGCTGTTGGGGAAGGTGATGTTGGATGTTGGGGAGGGTGTGATGTTGGGGAGGGTGTGATGTTGGGGAGGTGTTGGGGGGAGGTGTGATGGGGAGTGTGATGTTGGAGAGGTGTGATGTTGGGGGGTGCAGAGGTGTGATGGGGAGGTGATGTTGGGGGAGGGGTGTGATGTTGGGGAGGTGTGATGTTGGGGAGGGTGTGATGTTTGTGAAGGTGTGTGATGTTGGGGAGGTGTTGATGCTGATGTTGTGAAGGTGTGATGTTGGGGAAGGTGTGTGATGTTGGAATGTGATGTTGGGGGAAGGTGTGATGTTGGGGTGCTGGATGTTGGGGAAGGTGATGTTGGGGAAGGTGAGCTGAGGATGTGATGTTGGGGAAGTGATGTTGTATGTGATGTTGGGGAGTGTGAGTTGGGGAGGTGTGATGTCAGGAGGGGTGATGTTGTGAGTGGATGTTGGGAGGTGTGATGTTGGGGAGGGTGTGATGTTGGGGGGCAGATGTTGGGGGAGGTGTGATGTTGGGGGAGGGTGAGGTGTGTGGGGAGTGTGATGTTGGGGAGTGTGGATGTTGGGGAGGGGATGTTGGGGAGGTGATGTTGGGGGAGGTGGATGTTGGGGAGGGTGTGATGTTGGGGGAGGTGGATTGGGGGGTGATGTTGGGGAGGGGATGCTGTGGATGTTGGGATGGTGTATGTTGGGGATGGTGTGGATGTTGGGGGATGGTGTGATGTTGGGGATGGGTGTGATGTTGGGGATGGTGATGTTGGGGAAGGTGATGTTGGGAAGGTGTGATGTTGTGAAGTGTGTGATGTTGGGGAGGGTGTGATGTTGGGGAAGCGTGAGGTTGGGGAGGTGTGATGTTGGGGGATGGTATGTTGGGGATGGGTGATGTTGGGGAGGGGTGTGATGTTGGGGGAGGGCATGTTGGGGTGTGATGTTGGGGAGGTGATGCAGAGTGTGATGTCAGGTGAGTGGATGTTGGGGAGGGTGTGATGGGGAGGGTGGGGGAGGTGGTTGGGAAGGGTGTGATGTCAGAGGTGTGAGGAGGTGTGATGTTAGGGGAGGGTGTGATGTTGGGGAGGGTGAGATGTTGGGGGAGGGGCGTGATGTTGGGGATTGTGATGTTGGGGATGTGATGTTGGGGAGGGTGTGATGTTGGGGAGGGGTGTGATGTTGTGTGGGAGGGTGTGATGTTGGGGGAGGTGTGATGTTGGGGAAGGTGTGATGTTGGTGAAGGTGTGGATGTTGGGGGATTGTGTGATGTTGGTGTGATGTTGTATATGCTGGGGGATTGTGATGTTGGACTGTGAGATGTTGGTGACTGTGTGATGTTGGGGGAGGTGTGGATGTTGGGGAGTGTGATGTTGGGGAGGGTGTGATGTTGGGAGGGTGAGGTGGGTGTGATGTTGGGGAAGGTGATGTTGGGGGAAGGTGAAGTGTTGGGGAGGATGTTGGGGGATGGTGGATGTTGGGGAGGGCGATGTTGGGTGGAGTTAGAAGGTGTGATGTTGGGGAAGGTGTGATGTTGGGAGGGTGTGATGTTGGGAGGGTGGGATGTTGGGGAGGGGTGATGTTGGGGGGGGGAGGGTGGATGTTGTATGTGATGTTGGGGAGGGTGTGATGTTGGGGGGGGGTGTGATGTTGGGGAGGGGTGAGTTGGGGGGTGATGGGGGGAGGGTGATGTTGGGGAGGGCGTGATGTTGGGGATTGTGATGTTGGGGATGGTGTGATGTTGGGGGAGGGGGTGTGATGTTGGGGGATGGTGTGATGTTGGGGAGGTGATGTTGGGGAGGTGTGTGATGTTGGAAGGTGTGATGTTGGGGAAGGTGTGATGTTGGGGATTGTGTGATGTTGGGGGATTGTGTGATGTTGGGGGATTGTGTGATGTTGGGGATCAGGATGTTGGGGGATTGTGTGATGTTGGGGATTGTGTGATGTTGGGATGTTGGGGAGGTGTGTGATGTTGGGGGAGTGTGGATGTTGGAGGTGATGTTGGGAGGTGTGATGTTGGATGTGATGTTGGGGGAAGGTGTGATGTTGGGGAAGGTGATGTTGGGGGGGATGTTGGGGGAAGGATGTTGGGGGAGGTGGATGTTGGGGAGGGTGTGATGTTGGGAGGGTGATGTTGGGGGAGGGTGTGATGTTAGGGAAGGTGTGATGTTGGGGAAGGTGATGTTGGGGGAGTGTGTGATGTTGGGGAGGGGATGTGGTGGATGTTGGGGAAGGGTGTGATGTTGGGGAAGGTGTGATGTTGGGGGAGGGTGTGATGTTGGGGAGGGGTGATGTTGGGAAGGTGTGATGTTGGGGTGTGAAGGTGGGGAGGGTGTGATGTTGGGGGAGGTGATGTTGGGGAGGGTGTGATGTTGGGGAAGGTGTGATGTTGGGAAGGTGTGATAGAAGGTGTGATGTTGGGGGAGGATGATGGGGGGAGGGTGTGATGTTGGGGAGGGTGGATGTTGGGAGGGTGTTGGGGAGGTGTGATGTTGGAGGGTGGTGGGGAGGTGTGATGTTGGGGAGGTGGATGTTGGGGAGGTGATGTTGGGGAGGTGATGTTGGGGAGGTGTGGGTGGATGTTGGGGAGGTGGATGTTAGAGGGTGTGATGTTGGGGAGGGTGATGTTGGGAGGGTGTGATGTTGGGGGAGGGTGATGTTGGGGAGGGTGTGATGTTGGGGGAGGGTGTGATGTTGGGGAGGTGTGATGTTGGGGGAGGTGTGATGTTGGGGAGGGTGTGATGTTGGGGAGGGGTGTTGTGAGGTGTGATGTTGGGGGGAGGTGGATGGGGAGGGTGGATGTTGGGGGGAGGTGATGTTGGGGAGGTGTGATGTTGGGGAGGGTGATGTTGGGGAGGGTGTGATGTTGGGGAGGTGTGATGTTGGGGAGGGTGTGATGTTGGGGAGGTGTGATGTTGGGGAGGGTGTGATGTTGGGGGAGGTGAGATGTTGGGGAGGTGTGATGTTGGGGGGAGGTGATGTGGGGTGGTAGGGGAGGTGTGATGTTGGGGAGGTGTGATGTTGGGGAGGTGTGATGTTGGGGAGGTGATGGGGGAGGTGGATGTTGGGGGAGGGTGTGATGTTGGGGAGGGTGGATGTTGGGGAGGGTGTGGAGGGGAGGGTGTGATGTTGGGGAGGTGTGATGGGGAGGGTGTGATGGGGGAGGGTGATGTTGGAAGGTGTGATGTTGGGAGGGTGTGATGTTGGGGAGGGTGTGATGTTGGGGGGAGGGTGTGATGTTGGAAGTGTGTGATGTTGGGGATGGTGTGATGTTGGGGATGATGTTGGGGATGGTTGGGGGATGGTGTGATGTTGGGGGATGGTGTGATGTTGGAAGGTGTGATGTTGGGGGAAGGTGTGATGTTGGGGGAAGGTGTGATGTTGGAAGGTGTGATGTTGGGGAGGGTGTGATGTTGGGGGAGGTGATGTTGGGGAGGGGGATGGTGTTTTGTTGGAGAGTGTGTGTGTGTGTGTGTGTGTGTGTGTGTGTGTGTGTGTGTGTCTGTCTGTCTGTCTGTATATACACAAACGCATCGTTGGTTACTAAATTTTTAATCTTATTGGAAATGTTTAGTAGAGAATATGATCATTATGGTATCAAATTCATCATTCTATCTCCACTAGCCAAGCTTGAGTGAGAAAGGGGGGGGGGAACGGTGAAACCTGACCACGTGACTACCCCAAAAAAATTCTCTGCCAACACACACATACACACCAACACCACTCACACACCCCCCAGCACATCTGCATGTGTGTGACTGCATGATTTTACTGTACATACAATACATAACATCAAATATAAGCTACATACAGTACTTGTTACGTTAATTTTACTACATATACAACCATCGTTAGTCGAGACTTTAATGTACACAACATCAATACAATAAACTAATGCCCACTCATTTCATCCCAAATATTGATGGATAATTGCTTTGGAAAACCCTAAATGACAACTGACGTGAATCAGTCCTGTCCATATGGTAGGAGATCCACTGCACCTCCCCACCAAGAGGTCACTACATGTACGTGTATACGTAGTTCATTAAACACAGGTCAACTTGTGGCAGGATGGATGACTAAATAATGAGTAATACGGTATAAAACCAAGAGATTTTCAGGGAACTTTTTGAATATACGTAAGTATACAATATTTATTTAAAGAATACAAATAACGATGGACCATCCAACTTCTTGCAATTTATAAATTTATTAATTTCTAATTTCCAGTCATTTTCATTAATGTATTTTATAAATTTCAAGAAAAGGGTCCTAGCTATTAATACCAATATAGCAATACACACCTCCAACACACACCCTCCAACATTCATTATATTATATATTCTAGTATGATCAGCCACTTCTGGTGTATCCTTGATAATATAAAATATTAAATACAGTACTGTGCTATAACATCTTGATAAAATCACACGGGAACGGGGTAAACGACGGAGCACCTTAGCTTTGTCTTTATTCAAGACATCTTCGGAGGCAACTGAATTACAAGGATTGAGACAGAGAGGCTTATGTACACAGGGTGACCTTACAAAACATGAGGTCAGGTCAAACACATGACATCCACTAATCCACACACCACCACCATGACAATCATAAGAGGAGCTTATAAGAATGGGCGATGTAACTTATCATGTCAAAGTTATGACATCATCTATCCTACATCTACCTCAAATGCTTTCAAAGCATTGTTATTCTTAGCCGATTGAAAATCCTACACATAATGCCAAGTTCCCACTTTGCAAAGTAAAGTGGGTTGGCAATAGGAAAACAACAGAAAAACAGCAACACTTACCGGCCTGGTAGTCATAAAGTGCTCGGGCACACAACCCGTGCTCAGGGAGGATCTGATATTCCATTCCCTGAAATAATTAAAACCCATTCATTAGACTGAATCAGTCAAAACAAAAGATTTACCTGTTTTATTTTGCATAATTCAGGAATACCATGTCACAACCCTACTTATCGACAATTGATATTTCAATACCCCATTTGATATTCACAAAGCATACCCCACTAATTCGCAAAGAAAAATTACAATACCCTACAGTACAACAGTGATATCTCTGTTAGCCAGAACAACTGGTGCAGAGCACTTCCAGGAATGAGAGATCTCCGGATTACGAGACGACTCTCATATCTGGAAAAACTCCTTTATCCCTGGAATTTTCCGAGAAATGTTCTCAGAAGTTCCAGAAATTGCACATTACATCATCTCTCGAACCCGGAAAAAATCCTCCATCCCCAGAATTTTCCAGAAAATATACCCCTTGGAAAACCAAAAACCAGAATTTTGTGGAAAATTCCAGCTTTGGGAACGAGTTTGAGAAAATTTCAATTCCAGCTATTGGAGATGTCAGTTAAGGAGGATTCTGGTTAATGGAGATATTACTGCATTTCAAACAGTGCAGGCTAGCCACAGCTCTCATATTCCACTAGAAGGTTTGCTGCACGAGTGTTTTTTCCATGGGCGAGAACCCGTGTGATTTAGAAATGAATGAAGTTTAATGGGACGTTAACACCAAGCACACGCAAGAAAAATTCACGCGTGGGAGATGCTCACTCCACACTGCACTAGTACTTCCAAACCACGGCATAAAAAAACAAACCAAGTGTTATAGAATTTTTTATGGTAATGGAAAATGATAGTTTAAACTGTTTACTCTCATTTTACAAATGTTGCACAGAATTTATCGACGACTCCAAAACTGGGCCACCAACAACCACGTCACCATCAACCATATCATGACCATGGTTATGCACATCAACTTCCGACGTTATTCCACCTCCCTCCATTACTTTGGGCCCCAACACACTCCAGGTTGTGGACTCCACTAAGCTCCTTGGCATCACTATAGATAAACTAAATTGGAAAACACACGTCAATAAAGTTGTCAAATCCCCCAATTTGTCACCACCTCCTTCGCCGACTCAAGTCCCTCAGAGCTCCTGCACCCGAGCTCCTCGATGTTTACTCAACTTTCATACTTACTTCCCAAGCTCACCAATGCCTCCCCTACCTGGTCTTTCTCCAACACACAACAATGCACCACAAAAGTTGTTACGAACCACGCCACCAATTGTCATGATCTACCTACCCAGCACTACGAACCACGCCATCTATTGTCCTGATCTACCTACCCAGCACCACGAGCAACGCCATCTAGGGACGAAACACGAGTATGACTCGTCTTAGTTACCACCCCGGTTTCTCCATATCCTTATGCTGTTGCGGCCACCTCCTCAAAGTCTTTGTCAGCTCCAGTTCGAGGAGAGTTCAGTTCACTCTGGGAAGTGACCACAGGATCACCTATCCTGAAACCTACGGCACAGTGACTACTTACCGTCTTCTACAATACTCAGCCTTACTGTCAGCCATCTCAGTCTGCACTTAAGTATTGTAAACCTTATATTGCCTCCACCTCCACATACTTTAGAATTGTTGTATGTTGTATAAATATGTATATACTGTTAATGTTTAGGTTAAGTATGGTTAAGGGTAAATTATAGAAAGCTGAAACATTTGTAAAGGAATTTATGGTACTTTATTATACACAACAAAAACTCGCATCCTTTGTCTACCCTTTTATAGTCCGATTGTCTTTGTTTTTTTTTTTTTGTTGCCTGTTGGGATCTGGGTAGACTTTTAACTATATTCTAAATCCCCAACTCATAACAAAGTGCAAAAGAGGGCATGCAAGATTATTCTCTCCCCTTCCTACTCCACATATCAAGATGCGCTCACCACACCGACCCTCTCGACTTTCTCTGACCATCACCACGACCTCATCTGCAAATTTGGTGAGAAGCTTCAGCACCATCCTCGACACCGATTTCCTACTTCCACCCGAGATCTCTCATCCACGAATTGCAATTTGACACTACAACTGCATCCAGCCCATAAGAGCATGTACTGATCACGATAAGAACAGCCCAGTCCCAACCATAGTAAAAATTAACAACTCGTAATCAACCGGTGTATTCACTCTCAGTCAATCTTACCTTTTTGTACTGTCACTATGTTGAAATGCCCTGTAGTATAACCTTCTCCCCACCTAGTTATTATATGTCATATTTGTATCACATATGTTACTTGTATATTATTTGTCAATAAAGTGACCCATTCCCCAATTCAGTACCATAACTATATTTTCAGCCTTCCGGCTGCCATGCTCTTTCAATAAACCGTCAATTATTATTATCACACACACACACACACAAACACACTCTCACTCATGTATGCACACAAGCATGCACAGTCATTCACTTATACACAGGTGTTCTTTTGTATTGTTTTTCAGGTATTGTAGAATTTTATTACATTATATGAAGGAGTGCACCTGTATATAAAAAAATGTTGCAATTAAATACAAAATTTATGGAGATCATGTGTGTGTGTGTGTGTGTGTGTGTGTGTGTGTGTGTGAATACTTGTGTCAATTTGGCATGTCACCATGTTAGTGTGTGTCTGTTGCTACATCCCCCTAGCTCAGCCACTTGAGTCTCCTGTGTCCCACGTGTAGTGAAACTATTGCCAATTGGCAATGTGGCATCTTTTATTTTATTAATTCTTCACATTTACTGGTACAATAATATACAAGAGACCCTGGTCCCCAATAGCCTCAGATAATGAGGAGTGTATATAAAAAACATAATAATACCCCGGTTATCACAAGGGATGCTTTCCTAAATATCACTGTGAATATCGGGGCAATTTTTCCCTTAAGAATTAATGTAAATATGGGGGAAGCGTGCCCAACTACCAACTTTAACCACATATATTTTGATATATACTCCCCATTATCCAAGGCTAGGGACCAGGGTCACATGTATACTGTAGTACTGTACCAGTAAATGATAGGACTAAATTAAAATTATACTAATAACAAATAAAAAAATACGCATTGTCTATTGACAATAGTTTCACCAAGTGTGGAAGACTACTGTAGAGGGTAACATTGACAAGTCCATACACACCAGTTCATTACATTGAGCCGAACTTAGGCCTACTTCACACAAACGTTTTTGTTCCACGTGGGAGAAGGCAAACACAGTGTGTGGACAAATACTTTTTTGAGATACAGTACAGTGAGTTCTGCTATAACGCGTGTTTTGACAACGCGAATTGGCTCCAATGCGATTTATGAATAGAGGAACGATATTTGTATAATGCGAACGCTTGTTTGCTGTAATGCGATTTTTGCTTACTATTTCTCCAATTTTGTGGTATTAACTGGAATATGGTAAAGAAGAATATCTCCAAGAAGCGTTCTGGTGATCGCACAGTGATGATCGTAAAAGAAAGGCTATAACCCTTGAAGAAAAGCTCTATGTTATCTACCTCAAAATCACCCTTCTCCCCCATCAAGTTATATTCATATTTTTTCAAGGTAAAGTGTTACATTTACTGTATGATTTCATTATTTGATCTGAATGTAACATTTATTTAGACTGTGCTATCCTTTGTGTTAGGCTAACAATAATACAGCTTCACCTGGTAGGAGAACTAGAGGGATGTAGTACAGCAGTAACTCACGTAATTCTCACCATGTCAAGGGTTCGAGCCTCGAACCGGAAACACACGAGAAGGGCGTCAGCCAGTGTGACCTTCATTACCAAACACCACAGGTTTCCCGGTCTCCGGTTTCCTCCTGTACTAACACTGGATAAACCACCCAAATGACAATTAAGCTGAGAAGTGGCGAATATGATAAAACAAAAAAATAAATAAAATAACGGACAATCTAACTTGGCAGCCTGCCAGCATAAACATGTTCATTTCACACACATCTATGCTCTTAATATTTCTTATTTTATAGAAACATACTTTTTGATATACAGGTACACGCCTTATACTGTAATCCAATAAAATGACTCTAATGACGTAAAACAATATAAAAGACCACTCGAGTTAGAGTGAGTGTGTGCCTAAGTACATGCGTGCAGGAGTTAAAGTGTGCAAGACATTTGTAAATGAGCGTAAACATTTGAACTAGCATTTACCATTGCCATATGAAGAATTCTAGAACACATTATTTTTTCACGCCACAATTTGGAAGTACAAATACTGTACAGATGTGATTTTTCTAGCATGTTGTCTCTGTGAACGGTCCCATTGAACTTTATTAATTTCTAAACCACACATGTCCTCATGCGGAACAAAATAAACTCGTGTTCATCAAACTTTATAGTGGAATATGAGAGCTGTGGCAAGCCACATAAAATGAAATACTGTATTACTGTAGAGTATTGTAATTTTTTCTTACAAATAAGTGGTGTAAGCAAACATCAAATAGGGGTGTTGAAATCAATTATGGATAAGTGGGGTTGCGAATAGCAGTGCATGCGGTATTCCTGTAGACTATCTTAAAACTTTTAATAGAAACATCTCCGTTGGCGGAACCCCTCAAACCCGGAATTCTCCAATAGCTGAAATTGAATTTTTCTTCTGAAAATCGTTCCCAAAGCTGGAATTTTACAGAAAATTCTGACCTTTGACGATTGGGGGCACAATTTCCGGAAAATTCTGAGAAAATTTTCCCAACACTCGGAAAATTACGGGGATGGGGAGTTTTTTTCTCGGTTTCAGAGATGAAAATCGGGTGCATTATCCGCAAATTCTGATAAAATTTTTTCGGTAGCTGGAAAATTCGGGGATGGGGGATATGTTTCCGAGTTTGAGATATGATGTAATGGGCAATTTCTGGAACAACCGAGATTATTTTTCCATTAACCGGAAAATTCCAGGGACGAAGGATTTTTTCTGGCTTTGAGAGTCGTCTCGTTACCGGACTCTCTCATTCCTGGAAGTGCTCTACACCAATTGTTCCGGCTAACAGGGATATCACTACAGTAGACTCGCAACTTCCACGTATTTTTCTACTGCGGATTACCCCGGGGATTAGGTTACAATTTCCAATTTCAAACTAAAAATTTTTCAATTTTTTATAATGTCTAGTGCCTATTGTATGTTTATATTCAAATGAATCACTATCTTATAAGAATCCCAGCAATGTAAATTATATTCTCCCAGGTCAGTTCAGTGATTTTATGAGAAAATTTCAAGTCACTCTAAAGGACAGATAAATAAAATACTTTGGCACCAACTGTCAAACATATCACCTCAACCCCCCTCCTCCCCTCCTTCTCCCCCATCTTCCCAGACAGGGTTTGGTGGTTTTAGCAAAAGTTTTTATCTTATAAAATATCACAGACTAAATAAAGTTAGGAAGATTTACATAAATTTCTTCATTTATTTTTATTCATTAACATGCACACACCTTCCTAATAAAAACAAAAGAAATAATTGTCCTAAGTGAAAACCTGTCCTGTACATGTACTAAATTATGGTACAAAAATTGTTATGTCGAGTGCAAACTACCCTGTATTGCATGTTTATATTCAAATTAATCACTATCTTACAAGAATCCCAGCAATGTAAATTATATTCTCCCAGGTCAGCTCAGTGACAGGTAAATAAATACGCACTGGGTAAACCTTGGCTCTGGCTGTCAAAACACCTCATGTCCCCTCCCTCTCCCTCCCCCATCTTCTCAGCCAGGGTTTGGTGGTTTTAGGCTTAAAGTTTTAACTTATATAATATCACAGACTAAAGTTAGGAGAATATAATTATATAATTTGCATTGCTAGAATCCTTGCAAGACAGCGAATAATTTGAATATACAGTAGACATCATATATTTGCACGAGATAAAAATTAATCACCTGTATCACATTACAGTAATTCTAGTTCTAGTGTATATATATATATATATATATATATATATATATATATATATATATATATATATATATATATATATATATATATATATATATATTATATATATATATATATATATATATATATATATATATATATATATATATATATATATATATATATATATATATATATATATATATATATATATATATATATATATATTGATTTGGCGACTTATGAGTGTTTCTGACTTTACGCTGCTTTTTTGCATTACGAGGTCCCAGGAACGCAACCTCGCAGTAGTTGTGAGTCTACTGTATTCAATACTAATGATCTATGATTTGGAAAAGATTGATAATGTAAAGATTATGCTATCATACTCACAGGGTTAAGATGACAACAATTAACTTCTGTACCTTGTTAATTTGTCTGCAGCTACTTACATCAACTTTCATACATCTGGCCGCCAACAGGGGTCGTAGTGGCATTAGTGGAGTTGCTTTGGTGAACAGCTGTGTCATAAATACTGTTGGCCTTGGATGCTGCTTTAGTGGGTGTCGTCTCATCTGTGTGACCATACATATGCTTGTCTTGTGTGCCATTATGATGATTTGCTTTTAATGATTCTTCTGCAGTCACTTGATAAATATGAGGAACTCCATCAACATTCTGTCAAGAAAGTTTATATAAAGCTATATTATCACTGCTATACTGTACTATATGGAATAATGTCAAAAGCACTGCATGTATGCACAAAAGACACATCAAAGATGATTTTATTCAAAGATGTTTCAGTGCAGCTTGCAGAAAAACCTTTTGAAATGAATCTTCAAAGTGTAGTTTATTTTCCCATCTTATTCTGGTAAGTGAGCTTACTTCACATGTATGTATGTACAGTAACGTACTTGTACACTGTCAACAAAAACTTCTCAAACACCTGGGCATGATGAATATGAGAATGAGCAGAATGGGGCTTGTCATCTTGAAATGATTTCAGATTCTTCATTTATTTTTCAGATTGCATTGTGTTTATAGTGTTCGAGAAGCTTTTGGCGAGAGTGTACATATAACATATACAGAGGTAACTTTGTTTTACAACCAAACCTATGGTATGTTAGTTTTCATGAGTAGAAAAGGAAATTCTGTAAATGGTCATAAATTCTTGGATATGCAAAGAACCATTATTTTCTTTTTTAATTGTATGAAAAGAATATAGTGTATACAGCAAGTTCTCAGATATCATGGTTTCAAATGCTAAACTTTAGAGACCAAAATTAGTTTAATGTCGTTTTATCACAGACTACTTTCTATGGTGCATCACCGCTTTTCCATACTCTCTGGTTGGCATCACTGTTCTTAGAATCACAGTGTCCCCAAGCGACGCCAAGCCAGTCTCTTATGACTTCACATCATTCGTGGTGCTAAAGTGCTTTTCACTGTCCATTCGAAATAGCTTCCAAGTGCCCATCAAGTCCTACTGATGCTAGTGTAGTGAAGAGCCACACAAAACCATTACCTTGCTACAAAATGGATGTATTAACCCGATTTGAAAAGGGAGACGGATATGGTAGCCTCAGTGCTTCTAACCCCACAACAGTGACATCCGGACCAATGTTGACAAGATTAAGGTTAGTTGGAAGTGGTTTCTTGAGTGCAACAGACAACTCGTACCAGAGTACTGTGATAGAAAAGTGAAAAGATGCTGCTGATGGAACGAACTCAATGTGTCTGTGAGCCTTATCGTCCAGCATAAGGCCAGATCTTTGTTTGACGACAAAGGCAGAAGTGGCTGGTTTCAATGATGGCTTGAGGCCTTAAATATTAAGATGACAGGTGAAGCTGCCAGTTCAGATATTTGTTGCGCTAGACATTCCCACCAGAATTCAAACGGATTATCCAGGAAGGAGGATACTAATCGAAGCAAGTCTTCAATGGGATGAGAATGGTCTCTGGAAGAGGATGCCAGAGGACCATATATCCAAGGAGGAGAAAAGAGCGCCAGGTTTTAAAGCGCAAAGACCATGATGTTGTTGTTGGCGCGAATCTGCCGGTGACTTCAAGCTGAGTTTGCCAACCCACGGGCCCTAGAAGTTACTTTAAGGATCACCTTCCTGATCTACAAAGGCGAGGCATGGATAACCAGCGCCATAATTTGCCAGTGGTTGAACGGTATGCCGACCCTGCAATGAAGGAATACTGTGCCAAGGAAAAACCTTGACTTCAAAATTCTGATTGTTGACAATGCTAATCTCGACGACTTGCATGACAGTGTAAAAGTTGTATTCCTGACTCTCAACATGACAGCACTGATGCAGCTTATGGACCACACGCTGTGATTCAAGGCGTGATATTTACGTCATACCATGGCCCAGCTGCTCAAGGCTACATAAGGAGAAAATAAACTTACGATTCGAGAAATGCGTGGCTTCAACATTCTTCATGGAATTGACAACATTGGCAAGACATGGGAAGAGGTTTCAGAAAATTGTCTGAATGGTGTGTGGGATAAATTGTGGCCCGAGAGCCGCCAACAGTTTTACGGGATTCATGGACTTAGTCCCAGCTGTGAATAGGGATATCCTCAGCTTGGCTAGACAGGCAGGCACTGATGAGCTGGAATCAGAGGATATTGAGGACATCCTGGCATCCCATACAGATGAGCTCACCAACGAAAATCCGCAACAACTAACATAACACAGTCCCGTTGAAGACGCATTTACGACGAAGAACCTTAACGAACGCTAACTTCCAAGAGAATGGCAGAATCGTTTAACATATTCCAGCAAGCAATGCAAATCCTTATAGATGACGACCCAAACAGAGAACGTGGTTCAACTCAGCATTGATGAAAGTCTTGGTTGTTACACTGAGATCTATAAGGAGAGGAAGAAGAAGAATAGCACCAAGCAGTCAACTCTGGATTCATTTGTTTGCCTCGGGATGGCAGAAGCAGCTTCTGCAGAAACAGCTTCTTCACAACAGCCGGCAGCCGAGGAGGAGCAAACAGTGGCAGAGGAACTTAGAACAGGAGGAGGAGGAGGCAGCAGCAGAGTCTCAGTGACTCACCACCTCCCTCTCCCCGCCTCCTCCTCCACTCCGCCATACCCTCCTGCCACTACCCACCACACACTCGCTCTACCACCTCCGCCCATCGGTGAGTACCAATACAAACTTAGTAGTTATATATATATATATATATATATATATATATATATATATATATATATATATATATATATATATATATATATATATATATATATATATATATATATATATATATATATATATATATATATGTACACTAATTTCTATAGAAATGTCAATGATTTTCTGTATATGAAATGTTTTTCATGGGGCAAAGGGAAGCTGGGGAACGTAACTCCTGTATTTTATCTATTTCTTGGGGGAAAATTGACCCGCTTGACGTTGTTTCATATAACGTCGCATTTTCAGGAATGTAACCCTGACATTAAGCGAGAACTTACTGTATTTGAAACTCTGTGAGGAAGCTCATATAACATCATGATTGCAGTTTATTGTTGATTATTCTACTAATGTTTCTGATAAGAAGAAATTTTGTTTGGTTTTTCAAAACAGTTGACCATCAGTGATATTGTCTAGGCATAAGAGACTTTTGAATGGTCTGTCAAGATACAACTGTGTTCTACGCTGAATTTTAGCAAATCAAAGCAGAATACTGTACTCTACTCTGGGAAAGCTATTAGGATGAGTTTACAGAATAGGATAGCACTGAAAATCCAAACTTTGACATAAGGGCCATGGAACATTTGACAATTTACTGTGCCGATACACCAGTTGCTATATAATTAAGGAAAACAATTAATTCATAATTTCCAAATAATGAAGAACATATTTTTGTCAAATCAGAATAAAGATATTTACTTAGAATAAAAGTAAGTTATATATAGATATATTTTTCAAACAATGGGTTACTTTATTTTGACAGAAGTGTACAGATAATGATTTTTAGTTATCACAAGAGAATATGATAAATGGTGTAAAAGTGAGAAATTTCCAAATACTGTATATTTGTTGAGGAAAGAGTGCAGGTAACTGGAATATCTGAAGATAGGAATATGTGCAGGAATGAGGTAGTGAGAGATACAATAATTGAAATGTGTGTGCAGTTACAGGGACAGGAGTACATCTGTCAGACCATCTGGTAGACCACCCCTCTTTCTCTCTTGGCCTTGGTTAAGGAATGGTCCCCTCTCTCATTAATGATCCTTTGGGCACATTTGCTCTGGTGCTCCACCACTTGGTGACCTTCCTAAAAAGCTAAAATCTTTACATCATTCAACAGAGCTATTTTCCCATTCCCCCAAGTTTATGGCTCCCTTTTACCTCTAATTCTTCATGTTTTCCAGTTTCTAGATTTCTCCACTGTGTATCACTCCTTTATGCTCCAATTAATCCTGAAGATTTTTCTATAGTGTAACCAACATTTACATCAATTTACTGTATTTAGATATAAAAAGTATACAAATCCAACCATATTTAACTCCTACAAACAAAGAGAATGTGTGCTCAATCATAGTACCCTGTTATTAACACCTATTAACACAGTGCAAATCAGAAATACATGAGATCATGCAACAATCAAACGTACAGTATAAAATGATGGAGCCTGGTATGTCACGGGGTCCTCTTGGTGGGGTGAGGTTGGGTGTTGGGAACTTGGATAAAGGGAACTTTGGTTTAGAGAGGATTCTTGTTGAAGGGATGGTATTGAGGGAAGGTGATGGTAAGTCTGATTGCTGCCATTTGTATTATGAACTGGTGGTTCGGGAGGAGGGGGGCCATGATATGCTTCTTGTAGACTCGCCTCCTCCCACACATTCATAGCTGCTGGCTCTTCGGTGTCATACACTGGCTGAGTTGGCAGCCCATCTCGTAGCAAGTTCCTCACATAGCCAGTATTATTGACTTCCTGATAACAATGTTTTAATTAAAAGGGTGTAAGCTTTTCCTTAAAAATAAAAAATAGGGGCATTTCTATATTAATGACAAAATGAAACACACAAGCAACAAAACTAATGGTAAGAGAAAGTCAAAATAGAAAATGCTTCATGCAAATATACAGCAAAACAAAACTTATGAACAGTCAACCTATTTTTAATTTCATCATATGGCTTGAAGCAATTAGGTGCAAAAAAATTTAATTTCCTGTAAGGGAAGCAAAAACTGAGTTGGTAGAATGGAGAATAAAGTGGCCATCAGATAATATATATGACATACTATATATATTTAAGCAAGATAGACAACAGAACCCAATCAGAAATACAGTGGTCCCTCGGTTAACAAACACAATTTGTTCCAGAGTCGTTCGTTAACCGAAAATTTTGTTAACCGAATCTATTACTTCAATGGGATATTGGGAAATTGGTTCCAACTCACAGAAAAAGTACAAAGTAATGTATACCAGTAATAGAATTAACAAAACATTAAATATAAACTAAATACAGTACTGTACTGTACAGCATACTGTAAAATAATAAATAAAAAACAATAGAATACTGTATTTTAACTTACTTTGAGGTGTGTATGTCGTATTACCGGCAGCTTTGTTTACATATCAAACAGCTGATTGTAGAGGCAGTCGATGATGACATGCCACATGCTTTACAGAGTGCATTGGTTCTAATGCCTTCTTCACGTTTCATAATAATTTCTGCACTGTATCTAATCAATATGTTAACTAAATTTCAGAACGACCAATAATTTTAATGTAAAAATGCAAAAATATTCAAGAGACCAACAAAATCGATGTTCACTCCACTGTAAACAAAGTTAAACTGAGAAGCGTTGTTGGGTGATTCAATCAGCTGATGGATCACAAAGACTGTTCCCTGTACTGTATATATTATCAATATGTTAACAAGTTTCAGAATAACCAATAATTTTCATATAAAAAATGCAGAAATATTCAAGAGACCAACTTTCTTGATATTTACTTCACTGGAAACTAATGTAAACATAGAACCAATTACTGTATTGGCGGACTAGCCAATCAGCTGATGCTCACAACAAAACGTGTTTGTCGTAAGGATTTCGTTAATCGAAGTGAAAATCCTTGTGGGAGCTAATTCGTTAATCGAACCGTTCGTTAACCGAGGGACCACTGTACTCTACAATGGGATAAATTGACCTCTGACACCAAGTAAGTGATTAATCAGAAGATGGTTACTTGTGTTACAGGAATTTCAATATTTTTCTTTTTACCCCACAATGGCTAAAACACTGGAAAATACTGGTTAATTGCAGCCCAAAATATAAACTAACTAACTGCACTAACAGCTCACTGTATAAAAATAACCACATTATATGTTATTTAATACCTCTAATGTCAAGGAATTATCTTCACAGGAAAACTAGTCAAGGGTGTGAACCAAACTACGTACAAAAAAGATAAGTGACAATGTCAGTGATAAAAAAAATGAGTCCTAAATCACTCCTACTAAAGAAGTGAGAACTGGTACCAAAATAAATTATTTTAAGACTTCAAAAATATTCACATACTCAATGAACAATAAATTTTCTTCGTAATTCATTGCCAAAACTATCTCCATCCATTGTTCCACTCTCCTTAGATATTTGTTCCTTAGTGGGAGCCATCTGACAACTTTCAACTTAGTAAGCATAATGAACTGATATGATAGGGGTGTCAATTAATCTGTAGGCTAAAGTTTACTTCGTATACTGAGAATGCAAGTAGGGGATATTGAGACAGCAGGAGTGGTTATTTCAATTTTTTGACTTGGCACTTTTCTGTCACATTTTTCACAGGTTTTTTGCTACTCTCCTTTGAGGTTTGTGCACCTGTGATCCACCCCATATAAAAGTGGAAAGTGTAAGGGTGACACATAGAGTGATCTTTTACCATCTGCTAGAAGAGTCCAACAACATCCACATTTATGTTCACTTGGATGCTAATCTGATTCACCTCTTATAAAATCTACTGTCTCTTCCTGCTACTTTCAAGTGCTTTTCATCAATGTCTTTACCATCAATCTTCCATTCATAATGCTTTTTCACTTGGCCACTACAAGTTAGTTCACTTTTAAGCCAACATCCTGAAAGACACTACTTCATCTGCAAGCAATCTACAAATCTTTTTTTGTACCCCATCATTTCCAAGTAACACTATGTAAATAATTCATATCCATTGCTCATATATTTTTTTTATTATCTGTTATTTGGAAGCTTAAAGCTTCACTTCTATATAATAAATAAAAAAAAACATTTTTTGGTGAGGCTTCAAGCACTCCTATCTTAACCCTTACCCATTCATTATAGGTCAGAGAAACTCCAACCCCTCCTACCATAAAATTTTTAATCTCAACCTCTGCTGTCTCAATGTTCATTTAGCATAGGTTAGACATGATTATCTGATGACATGTGTCCCAGCTGCCATCAGAGAAATTTAAAGTAAGTTTTAGTGGTTATGGTCAATGAATGGAATTCCTGGGAATATTTTTCATGCACTAAATTCTATATTAACATCTTTAGTATACTACAGTAAGACCTCAGATACATGGAATGCATGGGGAATCGAGCGTGGCGGATAATCGTTTTTTCCGGATGCCTGAGTTACTATTATAAATATGCATCTTAAACCAAAGAACCGACAAACATTCAAGTTAGCAGCATTGTAATGGCAGTGCACAGTGTGTTTGGCCGACATGGAGGATGCACACAGCACCTCTAGTGGCTAAAAATGGAACCACAGGCGAAGTGCTGCCAAATCCAAACCGATTGTCTTGATTTTTTTATGTGATTAAAATAACTTACTGGAAATTGACTCCACAAAAAAATGCTGCCTGCTTGAGGGTTCCAGATGGTTAAATGCCGGATATCTGAGGTTATAGTGTACTGTATGATCAAGAGAGGACACAAGAAAGAAAGAGTTCAGGTGGCCTAAAAAAAAAAAAAAAAAAAAAAGGCATGGAAAACAGGGTTAATGGTTCTATGTTCAAGTAATTTTCAACATTTATGCACACTGCAAATTCTTTATTTCTTATATTAAAAACAAAAGGCCCAGGCAGCATTTACATCATTCTGGGACAGCAAATGCTGACAGTGAACACAATTTGGAAGGGGACTACCTATGGAGTATTCTGCTACATTTCCAGCAAAACTGAGAAAGTAGTTTTAAACAATAAGATCTGTCATCTTTTTTCAACTTCTAGTAATATCAGCCATCTTGGATGGTGCATGATGAAAACAGACGTACAGTAGTTTTGAAAAAGAAAATACTCTTGGAACATTTCTAGAAAGTATGCGCAGATGTGACCTTAGATATGAGACACACAAAACTCGAAAAATTAACACACACACGATGGAGGGCCAACAATAGCATAGTCCATTTAAATGGATAAATAAAATATAGTTAAGGTTTCCACACTTGAATGTTGCAATACCACCACACTTTGTGCAATTCTGCCAACTGTGTTATCTTTTGAAGCTACAGTAATTATACGGTACATGTATTTCATATTAAACATTCATCTCATATTACTCAGTGCTGTACATGAGCAAATTTAGGAGAGCAGCCAACTGCTCACCTGAAAAAATCTTTCAGGTGGACAAAAATCTTCCAACTACGTACTTATTTCAACTAACACTAATATAGTATTTACACATCCTGGGCATTCATTTCAAAATAATATGTTTGATGCTTTGCTTATAGATGTAATCAAAATTTTTGGAAGAAACTGCATGCTCGCATTATTACCAAGTACAGTGAGAAGAGGACACACACGAGCAGTAGCTCATATAAAGCACTGTTATTAATATTCAATACAAGAATATCTTGGGAAAATGTATAAGTAACCTGGGAAAACATTTAGTGTTTTCAAAAATACTTAGATATGTACAGGTATCCCTCGATATATGAACATTCAAGATACAAAAAATTTCCTAATACGAATGCCCTAAATTACCACCTATTTTTCATGTTATGAAGCTTACACGAATTTGGGTCCCGGTAAAAATTCAAATCGTGCGCCCCAGAGAGCGAGTTAGGGCAGCAACATCCACCTAGTGCTCTTTGCACCAAGCTGAGGTAGGAGTTAAGCTAAGGTTTTTTTTCAACTTGTAATTTTGAGTTTAAAAACATAACTTTCTTCATATTTTTTTATTGTTACATGCACACACAATCCTATTTATAAAATGTGCTTAAGAAAAAAAAGTAAAAGAAACAACTATCACAAGGTACAAATCATAAAGGGAATAAACATTTCTTTGTGTGTGAGAGCGGAAGAGGAGCATTGTTAAAGATCGGCAGCGGCAGCCGGGCTGTGTTGCTGTGATGAAGCTTGAGGGCGGCCATGTGTGAAGTAGCCAGCATTTATGTAAATGGCACAGCTGGCGGCTGTGTTAACCTTTGATTTAACTTTTCCTGAATAGTTTTTGCTGCATATTTTCATCTAGATAGTATTTTATCAATGTTTTTTATGTGTTTGGTAGTAAATTACAGTACAGTTGTACCCCGCTTAACGTGGTCAATTGAACCCACAGGGTACCGCGTTAAGTGAACAACAGAACATATGGGATTAATTCCAATAGAGACTGGCCCGACCCCCAAACTCCACTTTTTGAGACACACAACTATGTTCTAGTAAAAATAACATCTTAATTTTATGATGGTACATGCACACAATTAATACTTAAGAGAAATAGAGAAATACAGTCGCCAAGTTAATGTCCATTCAAATAATGGACTCGACTCCCTCCCCCTCTTCTCACACTACACTGCTGGCTCTTCCCTCTGAGAAATTTTTGGGGGAAAACCACTAGATTTTAATAAATAATACCTCAAACTAAAGTTAGGATAATATAATTGACATTGCTGGATTCCTTGTAAGACCAGGAATATTTTGAATATAATTGTCATATATTTTGCACAAAAGATAACATATTTACTCAAGAGTAAACATTATATCTAAAATTTGTATGTCTAATGCAAAATCTATGATGTTTATATTCAAAATGATCATCAAATTGTAAGAATTCCAGCAATGTAAATTATTTTCTGGCCGGGTAATTTGTATGAATTTTATGAGCTAAAACAAATATCTTCAGTTAATAAAAAAAAAATATTCTTCACGACACTATCTGTCAATCAAAGTACCCCACCTTGCCTCCCCCCCTCTTCCAACCGCGCCAGATGGTCGGTCCGTCCCAACCCCCCCCCACCCCCCACCAACCCTCCCTACCAGAGAAGCTTTGGGAGAAAATAGTAATTTACATTTTTAGTAATAAATAATAACTCAGATTAAAGTTAGGATAATATAATTGACATTGCTGGATTCCTTGTAAGACCAGGAATATTTTGAATATAAATGTCATATATTTTGCACAAAAGATAACATATTTACTCAGAGTAAACATTATATCTAAAATTTGTATGTCTAATGCAAAATCTATGATGTTTATATTCAAAATGATCATCAAATTGTAAGAATTCCAGCAATGTAAATTATATTCTGGCTGGGTAATTTGTATGAATTTTATGAGCTAAAACAAATATTTTCAGTTAATAAAAAAAAAAAATATTCTTCACACCGTGCCAGATGGTCGGTCGGTCCCTCCCTCCCCCCCACCTCCCACCAATCCTCCCTACCAGATGTGTGGGAAAACCAGAATATTTACCTTTTTAGTAATAAATAATACCTCAAACTAAAGTTAGGATAATATAATTGACATTGCTGGATTCCTTGTAAGACCAGGAATATTTTGAATATAAATGTCATATATTTTGCACAAAAGATAACATATTTACTCAGAGTAAACATTATATCTAAAATTTGTATGTCTAATGCAAAATCTATGATGTTTATATTCAAAATGATCATCATATTGTAAGAATTCCAGCAATGTAAATTATATTATGGCCAGGTAATTTGTATGAATTTTATGAGCTAAATAAAAAAAAAAAATATTATACTTCACCGCGTATATGAGTAGATGAACCGCGTTAAGTGAAAGTTCGGTTCTGGCGAGGCACCGCGTATATGAGAAATCGCAGAAAGTGAAACCGCGTTAAGCGGGGTACAACTGTAGTTGAGTACTATTTATCATTAGATAGGTAGTTTTTTCTTATTTGTAAACCAATTTCGTATTTTTGGGGGTATGAAATTGGGTATTTTTATCAATGGGAAACTGAACCCTATTTTTTAAATTTGTTCTGTTATTCCCGATACAAAATTTCACTTAATATTTTTTAAACCCAAACCATTCATTTATCAAGGGTACCCGTATATCATTTAATTTCATTCTAACTTTAGTTACTTTCTATGGCATCAGAACAGGGTACTGATGGCAATAAACAAATGTTAATTTAGGTTATCATACTATATATCAATGTCTAACAGTTGTCAAACCAAATTTAAGATGAAAGTTTTCAATGTCTAAACTGACAATAATGCCAATGATGACACCCTGGGTACACCAAAAGCTTCTCTGCACTTTGTGCAAGTAAGCTAGAAATGCAATCACTAATACTGTACAATAAAGCGTCCTCATGTATTTATAGTGTTATTGATAAACAAAACCAAGGCACAAAAATAATTGCGCAGTCATAATTAGAAGTAAAATTTGCCGTACATGCTATGTTGTAACACTAAACTATTATTTATAAAAAAGCTTTAACACTATGTTCATAACAACTGACCGGCTGGGGGTGTGAAGTCTCTGGTGGTTGCTTGGTTGGTGGTGCTGGAGGTGATGAATGATCTGGTATAGTGTTTTGCTGTGGTGTACTAACATTTGTTGACAAAGCAGGTGACATCACATCACCTACGATGAAGAAAGACCATCTTGAGATTTTATAATACACAGTACAGTATACTGTACATCACTATGGGATCTCATGTGCTGCCACGGGTTATTCATTCAATCAGAAAATACTGTAATTATTTATGAACTCTTCTCACAACTCACAAGAAGCCACTGGGACAAACAAACCCATATAATTTGCCCTTAGGGAACTCAAATTCTAAACACACTGTCTCTTAATGTTATTTTCTTATTTAAAGTATGTATGCAATGATATTTACTGTATTTTGTAATTCAAGGTGTACAACAAATTCTCAACAGAGTTTCTTTAACCTAAACCAGGGAAGAAAAGTCAGGTTTTGAGAATCACTGGTCCAGTTTCAAGGGTCTGTAAAATACCAAATACATAAACTAAGCCCAGGCCTTTGAACTTGCTGATTATCACCCCATCAATAATGAATACTGGAATACAGTTACTAAACAACACAAAAAGAAACAATGGCCACTATGTATAACTGACTTACCTTTGCGTTGTGTGGGCGTGGCAAGCTGCTGTGGAGGTTCAGAGGAAGCAGGAGGCCAACGTGCAGCAACTCCTCTACTTGGCGCCGACGGATTGTTTTCCTTGCCCTCCTCTCTACTGTTTTTGGGATAACATTATTATGCACAGCTGGCAAGTAAGTGAGAAATCCATATTTGCAAGGTATTACAACCTTTTCTAACTACAGTACAGTATGTTCATAAAAATTAAATTCTTACATTTATATGTAAATTTATATTTACTACAATTCATTTAAAACATTCACTGCCTCATAAATGCGTCCTTGTGTTACTGTCCACGCTTAACGCAACAAGTCCCTCATTTTATTCTAATTTATTGCTTCACTATCTTCACTTCTAAATTTCCTGAGTAATCAAACACCATTTTTTTTATGAGGCCACAAATAGTTCTTAATACAGTACAGTATATTCAAAACTGGACTCTACATTCAATATTCTAATAACATATGAACAGCCTAGTAATGGACTAAACCATATTTTAATACTGTATGTAGAAATCTCGTTAAAAAATAGTAAAAAGAGAAAAATAATACAAATTGTCTTAAAGTGTACAATAATAATAATAAAAAACTAACAAGGTTGTCACTAAATCAGGACAAGTTCATTGCCATTTTACAGATGCTTCAAGTCTAAAGGGCCATAAGCATAGAAAATATAATTATACCCACATGCAAAGTTGTGTAAAGTAGAATTACCTCAAGAATGTGTAATGGCAACACTACACATGCTTGACCTTTTTCTGCTAGCCTCCAATTTTTTTCCTTCTGTGTACATAATTAAATCCTCATTCACCTGCTCCTATTCTCTATTCTTAATAAGGTGAAAGTTAACTACTGTACTTCATGTATGAGATAGCCACACCCTCTTCAATTCTTCAATAAATTATCTGAGCATTACTGGTGAGTGTGCAAGACCTGATTATTGACAGCTGAAACATCTAAATAAAATTAAGAGTATGATACCCCTTTTTGATTGTGGGAATCAGAAAAAAAGAGCATTCAGATTAAAGGAACCTCCTAGAAATAAGCACCTGGCAGCTTTATCAGCTACCGTATCCTTGGCCAAGTTGCCTTACTGTTTACTATTGTTGTTTACCTACTCTGTCTCGGCACACAAGAAACTGTATACTCCCACGGTCTATGTGCACCGTATACGTATACAGTATTGTCTATATTCATGCTGCACTGCATAGTTTATAAACATGCTTATCCATTTATAAACCTATATGAAAACTACTGAATATATATTATCATAAACCATATACACTTTAGTAATGTAAATAACTCGGAATTGAGTTGTATTTCATATTTTTTAGTGCAATTCAACCTACCACTAATCTTAACTCCTTTTCCAAAACCTTCATCAATACAAGAAATATATTATTACATCTATTGAGATCCTGGACAATCACTGGATAGATAAAGATTTTATGCACAATTACAGTTCTGATTACATAATTATTTAATGCCACTAAGCCCACCCCATATAGTACCAACTAATGCTACACAACCAGAAGATCTGGACATGCTGGTAATAAAGCCATCACCCAGAAGACACCTAAATATATATATAGCATTCGACAATTTGTACCTTGATTGGCTGTTGACTGGTTTGAACTCTTTTAGACGACGGGGAGGTGGACGGTTCTTGTCCGTTGCCTGTTTTGAGTTCGTGATACCCGATTCAAACATATCTCGAGTAGAATGTGTTCTCTGGCCAATTAGGGTTTCCGCTTCCTGAAAAATGCAAGGAGTTTTTACAAAGTGACTCAATCAGACCAAGATATCAACTTAGACTTAGGACCCCCCTTACAGTGAAAAGGCAATTCTTAAAAGAAAACATAATGCAAAGTTCCTTGGGATTATTATGGAGTACTGTACCACCTTGGCTAGAAATATCACATCTATTACTATAAAACCAGAGCTCTTAAGTTTCTACAGTCACTTGTTGAATCGAAGCTTTTTCTTTCACAGCATACCTTGGTAGGTAGTAGGCAGCTGTCAAACAGGGAGGTACTACCGCCTGGGAAGATATTGGAAGCATAATGTGTTGTCTAATGGTACGTATACAGTATTTATGAAAATAATAAAAATACAAATAATGATGGACCATCCAACGTTTGCAATTTATAAATCTATTACTTCTAATTTCCAATAATTTTCATTAGCATATTTTATAAATTGAGAAAAGAGCCCTAGTTATTAATACCAATACAGCGATACACACAACTCCAACATTTATTATTACTGTATATATTCTATTATGATCAGCCATTTATGGTGTATGTTTTATCATTGATAATATAAAATATTAAATACAGTAAGTACTATAACATGTATAGAAAAATGACGAAATATTGCGTCGTGCTCCAGAGTCCCAGGTCCTCTGTGCGTGGGTGGCAGGAGGCTGAGACGCTTGAGGTAACTTAGGTCATAGGCTCGCATGCAATGATTGGCTAATACTGTCATGTGACCTCATGGGACATCTGTAATTGGCTGATGCATCTTGTAGATGAGCCCCCCCCCCTCCCCCCCAGGTTAGCCTCACGGCAGGCTTGGTGCATAATTCTTTGTCACCAGTCCCCTTACAAGGTTCATCAGTTGCTCGCTCCTGTTTTTTGTACAGTGTGTTGTGCTGTACTGAACAATTGCTGTACATAGGACACAATCAACCTACAACACAGTGTTTAAGCTAGAACTGATATCATTACATCTATCAATATGGATCTGTGCAGCATCTCCGAATGGGGAGGCAGAAAATTCGTTAAATTCAATAGTAATAAAACTCAGTATTTACCAATAACACTTTCCAAATTAAATGATCTCTCACCAATCACATTTCAGGACGCTATCATTCCGCCAAATTCTAAAATAGATATGCTACGCCTCACCATTTTCTCTAATATGTCATGGAAGCCACACATCCTTAACATTGCAAAATCTGCCTCCCGAAAGTTGGGAATGCTGTACAGATGCCATAACTACTTCACTCCTGAGCAGTTGCTTCAAGTATATAAGGGATTCATTCGTCCTAACTTGGAGTACTGCTCTCATATGCGGGGTGGCTCTTATTCTGTCCAACTGTTGGATAAGGTGGAATCAAAGGCATTTCGTCTTATTAACTCTCCTCCTTTAGTTGACAATCTTTCTTCCCTTTCTCTTTGCCGCAATGTTGCTTCACTCTCTCTTTTACAGGTACTTTAATGGGCAATGTTTGGTGGATTTGGCATCCTGTGTACTGCCGGCAAGGCCGTGGGCTCGTAACACACGTCTTGCCCAAGGTGCCCACCATTTCTCTGTGGATGTCAGTCACACTAGAATAACCCGTTATAGTACATCCTTCTTTCCTCACAAAGCCAAACTGTGGAATGCTCTGCCTTCTTCTGTGTTTCCATACTCATACAATCTGTCTCACTTTAAAAGGCAGGTTTTCCAGCATCTTCGCAGTGTAGATTAATATAACCTTTTCCTTTTCTATTTGTAATTTCTCTATTCTTTCTTTTTTGCCCCCTAGGCCCCGATGTGGGTCGTTGACCTGTACCCGGGTGGGTCAATCACTGATAAAAAAATAAATAAAAACATTATCAAAATGAACCTTAATACAGTACAACACTGGAATTTTGGTGACAACACAGGCCAGGAGGCAAGTTGTCCACTTGTCCTCCCTCTACCACCCGTCACCTCCCCCCAGTCTATGCACCCAAAATCTAGTTTTGTACATTATCTTAATACTGTACAGTATAATTCATATTCTCTTCCTATAATTCATGAGTCGGTAATTTATGAGGATGTTCATTATAGAAAGTTATAATGTTTTCTTTCTTTTAAAATTCATTAAGGAGTAAGAAGGAAGGAAGGAAGGAAGGAAGGAAGGAAGGAAGGAAGGAAGGAAGGGGGGGAACTGACAGCACACGCCCCCCCAAAAAGGTTCCTCGTCTCCTCATGCCTGCCATTACCATTGTAAAAAAAAAATAGTTTTTATTTACTAATAAAGATATGTTTACTGTAATATTCTGTGCATGCTTATTAATACCTGTACCCTTCATATACCTGAATAATACAGCACAATACTTTATATAATGTATCAGTACAGTACTGTAATGATTAAATAGTAAACTGGTAAATTTGGCAATGGCTAAGCTTACCCGCCACCTACTCTCCTCCCAGTAGAGAGGTCTGGGTGAAAAAACTTTCCTTATTATTCGACTTGTCATGTAATTTTGATGTCAAATTAATAATTATACATCGTAATTTTTCCAAAGTGTTTAATATTTTATATTAACCATGATAAAACATACACGAAAGATTTTTTGCATAATAAACAATATCGTATTGTTAATAACAGTACAGTGACCCCTCTGTTAACGAACTCAATCCATTCCAGAAGGTCGTTCGTTAACCGAAACCATTGTTTCAATGGGTTTTTGGGTAATTGGTTCCAGCTCACCGAAAATTTCCTTAATTCAACAAAAATGGTAGAAAAGTTCACTTACTTTGAGGTGTGTATGTAGAAGGCTCCTGGGTGATGATGATGGGATTTAGAATGGGGGAGGAGGAGAAGGAAGAAGAGAAGGCATTGGGGTGGCAGAGAAGTCACCCCATGGCGCCATTTCACCCATAAAATTTTAGTTCTCTTGGTGTATTTCAAGATTATTTTCTTTAAATCAACACTGCACTGCATTATTTATTGTCAATATGTAAAATATATTTCAAAATGACCAATAATTTGCTTGGAAACACAGAAAAAAACCGTTTAGTTGAAGAGAGTCTCAAGCAAGATGTTACCTCCAGTGAAAACAGAGAGAGACTAACTCCTGTTTGCTGTGTTAAGAGGCTGGATGCCGCGCATTAAACTAGTCACTTTACCTTCAATTATGTTCAATAATTGTTAAAATGACTAAAAAATTGAATATTAAACTTTTAAAATTGTTGAATAGTATAAACGTCTTGATATTTACTAAAATAGTAAGGAATTTAAGCCCTAGAACCGATTAATGTATTGACGGACTGATACTAAAGCTGGTTGCCCGGTCAGTGCAAGCGAAAACATGTTGAGGTCGGTTCGTAAGAACTTCGTTAACCGAATTTTTTTTCGTTAACCGAATTGAAGATCCTTATGGAAGGCAGTTCGTTAATCGAAATTACGTTAACCGAGGTGTTCGTTAAACGAGGGGTCACTGTACAGTAATTTGATGAATAATAGTGACAATTGTAGTACATTGCTATTCTTGAAACGACTGTCATTGATGATGCAATATGGCTTATTTATTAATTAATACCACAACATCACACCCAGACACCCCCATATTGTATGACAAATTTATGCGTGGTTAACTACGTGGTGGCGAATTAAAATAACAGCTGTTGAGGAGCTTAGCGCTTGGCAACACTGGTGCATGTTATCACTCCTTTCCACTCCCTCTCTCTAATCACCCACACCTTTTAGCTTTCTCACTCCACATTTTAAAATCTTATGCAACATAATGTTGAAGGGATATAATGCGATAAGTGTAAGTATAAAAAATACTGTACAGTATTTTAACTTTCATGTTTATTCAAGACATCTTCAGGTCAACAGGACCAGGCAGCTATTACAATGGAGAGCAATCACCCTCTCCATTAAAATACCATAAGTAAGTGGAGTGTGGCCAATGCAGAGGCAGGCCAAACCAGTCTCCCAGTGGCACAATAGTTCCCGATATCCCCAGGCACCCAAAGCCGGGTGGATGCCGCGGAGCTTGTTTGCTCTACCAGCATTCCACCTGCGTTGCCAACTCGAGTGGATGGCAGCTAGTATTATTGGCTTTATATCAAAGGCAGATAAAGAGGAATGATGTGTCACGGGACAAGAAGCAGCTGCTTTTGCCACATCGTCAGCACACTTATTCCCCTCTCCCCTAAATGGGCTAAAGTCCAACAAAAACTGACCTTGCAGCCCCGATGTTGAACGAGAAACAGCCACTCAAAAATGGCTACAACCACGGGATAGGGCAATGAGACATTAGCTAAGGCCTGGAGAGCACTGCAAGAATCGCAAAATTTTTTTAAATCGCTTTGACATTGTCAGATTGTGCATTTGACGTCCATTTCAATATTGCCTGGTAAGTGGGTAAAAATTTTCTTGAGGGCAAGTAAAATACCTGAAAGCTCTGCTGCAAAAATAGATGACATAGCGGGGAGACTACCGTTTCGACAGAAGTCAGGAAAGACTACCCCAAAACCCACATCCGTATCTGACTTAGAGTTGTCAGTGTAAACTGGGATGATCCCTTTGTGAGAGGAGACATGCTCCTAAAAAAAAAAAAAAAACCCACAAAGGGAAAGAGCAAGTCCTTTCTTTCGCTAAAATACTGACAAACTTGAACTTCAGGGAACATCCACAAAGTGACACGAGAGGCATATCTGAACAGGAAGAAGGCAAAGAAGATTCATAACCTTCCATACCCTGAAGCCAACTACACAAGTGTTGGTTAGACTGCAGAAGGCGAAACCAGCACTGGACCTGGAGATACTGGTGTCGAAGATCAAGGGGTAGCTCATCAGCAGAGTGTAGCTGATAGAGAACATTGCTAGGGAATCAGCATCCCAGCTGATCTTTGTTACTATGGTGGAGCAGGTAATCTATGCAAATGGCGACTGCGATAAACATTCATTTTGGCATTTATTTACTGGTTTAACAATGGTATTTTTTTTGTAACTTATTTATTGGTATTATTTTTTATTTATTTCTAACATTTCCTGGTACTGTATATTTAAGAAAACTATGACCGAGGTGCTTTGGTTGTTATTCAACCCGTTTTTTCAGTTAGATATACATAACCTTCTTCATTTACTTTTACTCAGTTACATGCACACACCATCCTATATACATACATACATACTGTATTGTGGAAAAGGTACAGTAATACACCACAATTACTGACATCCTTCATGTTGGGTTGGCTAGCTGGCTATGAAAGAAATTTTGTTAGTTTGATGTACCGGTACATATCAACCCAGATGGTGCCGTATGGCAGCCCAACCAACCCAATTATTAATAACACAGCATGGAGTTGACCTGAGGGTAGACTCGCATTTTTTTCTACATTTTGATATATTTTTTGTCTTGTTTCTGATTATTTGTGAGAGCATTTTCCCATTATTATTTATATGTGTGTGTCTACACACACACATACCGTACAGATAAAAGAAATAATTGTCCAAAGTGCAAATACATAAAGGGAATATATATTTCTTTGCACACGAGTAAAAACGTACCCCCTCCCACCCAGTCAGCAAATGATAAGTGTATTCGTGGTTTTGGCAATTTGAGGACATTTTGAGACCCAAACCCCCGCAAATTTTAGGGGCATGCTGTACTACTAAAGACAGGTTAAGCCTAATCAACTACAGGTACTCACTTTTTTCCTTTCCAAGCGCATCATCTCACTCCGCTTGGCTCGTTCTGCTTCTTCCTGGTGCTGACTGTCTATATCCTGCTGCCACTTCTGATCTTGCTGGGCAGCTAGATGCTGGGCTGCATTTTCTTCAGCTTTCCGTTCAGCAAGAATACGTGCATTTCGCTGTCTGGTTAACTGTTCACGATGTTGGGCATCAGTTAACTGAAATGTCCAAGGAAATCATAAATCATGTTTAGTTCATTTTTGCCTTCCTATGCTGCAGAGAAATCAAAATGAAGAGCAAAAAATTCTCCTACATCTATTCCCCGTCAGTACTGAGATATCTCTAAAACACCCACTGATATGCTCTCCTATCATTCACATGCTGTACTGCTCAGGGGGGTTACAGACCCCCCCCTTACATCAGAAAATTCCAATACCTATTCTTTAATGCACTATTGTACTCAGGCATTTTTGCATAGTAAAACGTAATTACTATTGACCTCAGAATAACTTCTAATATCAAATGACAACGATACTGGCCAAATTTCAAAAGAATTTATTGGGTGAAGCTGACAACACTTCCCCAGCCCCAAACCTCCCAATTGGGTGGGCTTGCTGTGCTCACCATGTTCCCCCACCCAAAACTTCTTGAACCCTCCCCTTTTGATATTCCTGGATTCACCCGTTGCTTCTAAGGTGTCCATCCCCGTTACTTCCAATAGTTTCCTAATTCCAGTCAGCTCTTCATTCAATGCTTTTTTTTTATCCATACTTCCATCCAATTTCTGGATTTCTTAAGCGTTTGCATCCCATTCACCTAACGTATTTTTGTTACTTCTAATTTTCTTCTTCAGTTTGCATCCCAAATCCAAGCTTCAATCCCATGTATACTAATGGAAATAAGCATATGATGGCTTGTCAAGGTATCCTTTAATGAATCAACTTACTGCTTGCATACTTGCATTAAATACATTGTTTTTGTACTCGCACTGCCTATGAACAGTCAACAACACAATTTGTTCCCAACCTAACCTGCATGATATGAGGCAGGTGATCTGATAACACTGTATGGAGATGAGTTGATATGTTTTAATGGCTATTTATTTAAGAGTTATGATCAGAGATTGCCCAAGAATGTGAAATACTCGTTGCCATCAACACTACGAATAATCATATACATCTGGATCCCCAGTTATGAATCATCCTGCAGCAATGTCATATGTTTCTTAACATTATTTTCTTCCAATTTACACATTGATACTACTGCCTGGGAAGATATTGGAAGCATAATGTGTTTTCTAATGGTAGACCCTACTGCCATATGGCATCACAAAACTTGTGACCAAGTTCCCAGGTTGCTGATCTGACTTTCTGCCTCATTTATACACAATTGCAGGGTCTCCCATGTTTCTTTCTTTGACAACACAATATTTAAATTGTTTCTCACTCTCGATTTGTTTAATTTGTTCTATTTCTGTAGTTATTTTTGGTTCAAAATATCTTCCAATTTATTTTTCTAATTTTGTGAAACAAACCTATTCCCGGAGGCAATGTAGGGCTGATCATATTCACTCATGAAAAGGTGAACAGATCTCTTATTAACTGCATTACTAAAAAGATGTAAACATCCATACAAAAAACTTCAGTCCATCAATTACTGTACCTCTCTTTTTTTACGTTCAGTTTCAATATTCTTCAACTCTTCATCCTTCCGCTGCTGCTCCTCAAATTTTCGTCTTCTCTCCTCAGCCTCCTGCTCTTCCCAAAATTTATTGCGAGACTTTGAATCTATCTCAGCTAAGGGGTTTGTGCGCTTATAGTTGGTTCCCTGTAAATTAGGTGACAATGCCAGTTGCTCACATACAGGGTAGATATAAATAAGAAGCTAGGAACAAAAATCAATCCAATTAGATAATCATTCAATAGTATTCTAATATTGAAAACTAAATCAAGTAACAAAATTAAAAAAGCAATATATACAAGTACAGTATTCTTAAAATATTTGCTTCGTGGATATGTGAAACTGTATATGTTGTTAACTGAGAAATGGCAGATTATAAATCAGATACTGTATTGTATTTTTAAATGTATGGACAAATTAGCAAAGTAAATTACTGTAAATGTATTATAACACATCAAGGAATCATTAGCCTACATCTAACAATGAATGAAAAACCAGGGCAACAACTGAAGAATACTTGTATGAGTTAGAGCAAGTTTTAAAAATCTGTTTATACATCAATGAAGAGAAAAACATTAACTTAATGTGCTGCATTACTTCCATGAGATAGTCTTTAGATAAAGAGTATAAAGCTCTTCACATGTTTGTTCACAAACTGATCAGAGTATATACAGTTACGCAGACTAAGTACTCATTTGTGAAGTTAATGAGAAAACTCATAAAAAAAGGCAAAAGCCCAGATCCAAAACAAAAATGAAACACCATTTTGAGTTTCAAACTCGAAGAAGCAGAATCTACATACTCAAAGTTCAGAGAAAAAATGAAGAATAGTCCCAAAAGTCAGACAGGATGAACATAACAAGGAGCAGCTACTGCTCACAAAAACTTACCAACTCACGCTTCATCATTTTGGGTTTAGGCTTTATAGAGGGGAAAGTTTGGGAGCCATCACCACAGGCTACAGCGGGACCACTAGCACCACTAGGCATCAGCTATAACACAGATGTATGGCAAGCTTTATGACTTGGGTGCCACAGGATACACTGGGTAAGACTGGAGAGGATCATACAGTCCAGGGTAGGATAGTGCACAAAAGGATAGGGCAGGAAAGGAGTGACCCAGAGAGAACAGGAAAGGTAAAGACCAGGATAGGAAAGGAAAGGATGATCTGCTGGATGAAAGGTTATGGTTATAAGAAGCCCACACATTGTTTAGTAGATGAAGATGCTCAACATGGCTGCCATTTCTTATCTGCTAGACCACATAAATATTAATGCATGTAGGATTTAACAACAGGATGGGATCAGGAGAGTGGGGAGGAAAAGACTGGACTGTCTAGGATATATTAGAATAATGTAGTGTTATGCTATTAACAAAGGCATTCAGCTACCTTAAGAATCCAATACCACATAACTTTCAATATATGTTAAATTCTGTTTGATTATTTTTCCCCAAAACAGAAGTCACTGCACATTATAAACATCAATAAAAAAAAAAAAGCTTTTAATTTTACAGATGAAGAAGCAAAATGCAGTGAGTGCAGTGCCTGTGTAGGTCTCACTATCACATTTACCAACCCCCAGAGATGAAGGGAAGGTGTAGAGGTATTATAACTGGTCTGAGTGAGAACTATTGTCAGTCATTCCACAGAAAAACTCTGAAAATATCAACCATTGTTCTGACCAAATGCACTCTATTTGTATTCCCAATGAAGTGCTGTACATGGCTCATCCCATAAACTGGTTAAGTTTTATATTATCAAGGGTAAAGGTCTAGGTCAAGGTGTGAGGTTCTTAACTTTACTTAATTTCCCACGAAGAATCTGCCTGCAATCTAACAAGAATTCTCACATCGTAAATTCTCGTTTCATTTTCATAAACTTAAAAGTTTACCACTCGTACAAAAGGCTTCCCCATTTTCCAAAAATAGCTTACTCACTCAATAATTCAATGAGTTAAAGTAATGAACTAATGGTTGATAATATTGTTGAGACTTGACCCATAATAGTATTCATTCCACAAAATTCAAGAATAAGCATGTAAACGTGGCAGTGGATTCTTACATGGTCCCACAGAGGATGACCTAATTCAGTTAACCCATAATAATCAACTAATAGCTGGGGTCAAAATTATTCTTTTATATTATTTTTAGTGAACAATGGGCAGAACAACAAAACTTTATCCACATGACCAAGACTTTATTGTTCCAGTTCATTTTAATGTGAAAAAAAAAAAGTTTTTTGTAGTTTTTAGCAAGGTCAATGCAACCCCTTTGATTTCAATTGAAACTTGATTTAATGGTTTATAATTTAAACTTGTTAGACAGGCAAACAAGAAGATATGTACCCACATGAATAAAATCTATACATATTTGGCAAGAAAGAGAGTAAAGTTTGACCCCTAACAGGCACTTCAATATTCTTATGATGTTAAGCAAAAAAGGTACTTAACATTTAAGCTTAAATATTTTCTTATCTTATACTGTACAGTACTAAATTTCTCAAAAACAAATAAATTGTTTCTACTGTGACAAAAATACTGAAGATGTCTGTATTTTATAGGATTTTAGTGAAAGACAACTCCTAAGTCTGCTTGCAATATCATGCAATCATGTCAGGAGTTCAACATCCCAGTGAGACATTAATGCACATACGGGCAAAGACAAATGGGAGTTTGCATTCCATTCTCCTTAGCATGAAAATTATGAAAGTGCCAATCATCTGTGTGTGCCAGTTCCTGATTCCCAATTATCTTTACAGTTTAGGAAAGAAAATTTTGGTCTGGGGCTTAAATCAATGAATGAAGATATGCTTCAATAGACTGTCACAGAATAGATGTCGAGTTAAATGTATCCTATAGAACATTATATTATAAAGTAAATTCAGTGACTAACAAAGGTACTGGCATAACACAGATCAGTTTTCTTAAAAGTAATGTAATGTTGTCCAATGGTACCTACAAAATATTTTCATAATTAGTGCTTTAAATGCTCTGTACATTCTGTGAAATAATGAATACACACACTGATTCAAGAATATTTTGGCTTCCTCAGGAGGAAGAAAACTATCATTAATCTCAAGATGACTATAGTATAGAGTACAGTACATCAAGAGAAAAATCACACTTATAAAGCTATGATACACAACCAAACCAAAAACTGCACAAATATTATGAGAATGCTGGTTAAATGAGGGGAAGTATTAGTAAGATATATAATTAGAAAATGAAAACTGGAATTGTTAACCAAAAGCACCACTAAACTCGGTTAGTAATTCAACTGCTGGCAAAACGAAATTTCTCAAGACCTTATAGTGGAAACCTGCCACAAATTCAGTGGAGACAGACCATGCAGCAAGATTCACACACTGTACATGACTATCCAAACATACAGTCATGTTTTCCACTGTGAGCAAGAGAGAAATATACAATGTCTTGCCATATACTGTAATTTGAAACCTACCCATTGCCAAACCAATTAACAATGAAGAACTTTGATGAAGACTATAGTTGTTGATAACTTCTGCATATTTTGTCAAATGTTAAAATATTCTGCATCATGCTTATATACAATAAGCTTTCCACTGACCAGACTTCTTTTCAAAATCTCTTATTGGATTTAGGATAGCCACAAGAGGAGATCCCTCTAGAATTTGTTCAGAACTTTCCATACAAGGATCTAATTAATCTTGAAAATGTATACAGTACAGTGCATTACAGAAATATGACATGTATGAGAGAGTTTGGCCCATTAAAATTCATTATGTCTTAGGTCCACCGGGGTTATGATTTGGGGCCAAATGAGATCCATATCCTAATAAACCCTAGCTTCAATAGGAAACGAAGTCTGAGCTCTAAACTTTGGCTGCCAAAGAATTTAGGGTTATATTGGAAATTCTTTCAGCTGAAAAATCTACACATGACATATACAATGCAGTAGCCTTTTCTGTAAACCACTCTGCTAACATTACCTGCAAATAAATCTTAAGATGATAACTACACTAGAAGAATGACTGGTACAAGGCTTGTTCCTATCACCACCACCAAAGGCACCAACTTAAAACTTAACCTGGGCATGGACATGGTTACCAAGAGTCAAATAGCTCTACCTCTACTTAGTAAAGGTGAACTAATTATGGTACAAAGGTAGGAGCAATTAATATTTATGCAACATCAAAATTTCCATAACTAACCATTTAAGTGTTTAATGATTAAGAACCCAACAAAATGCAAATGTCCAATTAGAGCAATTTCAAAACAATATGAGATTGTTAGTAAATCACACAGCTTAAAAAATACTTTAATAACTCATTTGTCATATCATAAGGATTAGAAGTAAAATAATATCCTATTATAAAATAAATTTTCCAACTTCTCACGTCACATATACATTAACTGAAAATACTAAAACAATCAAAACAATACAGTAATTAAGAAAAATTAAGAGCTGGCCAATATTGTCTTTACTGTAACTGTACATGTACTGTACCCACTTTTTGACTAAGAAGTTATTATGTCCTCTAAAGTAGAATTTCTTTAAATTTCTTAAGAGTATTTTCCAAGCTCAAAAATGCAATACATACAAACTTGTAATACCACTATCAATTACATTATAACTTGCCATTTTAGGGGTTCAAAGGTGGATGATACTGTTTTTGGAGTTTATGTGTATATATAAGACATTTATAATGTGACTAAGGGACCATATTGTCATGTGAACTGTGAACTTTTAAGGTTACAGTACTTATAATCCCTAACTCTCAGGCCATTCATATGATTTTTGGAGAGGGTCTTTGGTCTTCTTAATACGAGATGTTTGATATGGTGCCAAAATTTAAAAATTGGTTCACTTATTTGCTTGACATAAAACAAATGCACACACCTAAATAGACAAAACAGAGGCACAGTGACCCCTGGAGTTATCCCCCCACTCTGGCTCATTACTAAGCCCTTGGAACGTGTGATTTATAAACCCCATTCTGGCTACCATGGAACTATATAAGGTAAATAACCACTACAAATTTTCATACTACAGTCGACCCTCGTTAATTCGGACCCCTTTAATCCGGATTTTGGATAAATCGGACGAAATCTGAACTGTTCATATCAAATTTCTGGTTCTGGGATTGTCCCAGTTGCAATTGGGGTTGCAATTTCAAATTCTGTGTCATTACTAAGAAATAAAGAAGTCACTGGTGTACTGCACTCTAAGATTAAGAGAAAACGGACGACTCAGGCGTCCTGAAGTGAGAGAAAACGGACTTCTTTGACGGGACACTCAAATAAAGAGAGACATAGCTACATGTTTTGTGGACTACCCACTTTACAGTATCCTTTTCATCACTTTGTAATAAACCTTGTCATGCCTATGTGTTTCTGATAATTACCATAACATTATATACAGGGTATTTATATATTTAGCGGTTGTACAAACACAAGGCCTCACACATGCCATTCAGACTGACAGACTGACAAGTTTTACCAACCATAAAGACAGTTGAAGCTTTAAACATCACTCACAATGGATCTTGAATATTCCAACTGTAATCAGACATACCTAAGTTGCCTCAACAATTGCAACCCCAGTTGCAATTTCAAATTCTGTGTCATTACTAAGAAATAAAGAAGTCACTGGTGTACTGCACTCTAAGATTAAGAGAAAACGGATGACTCAGGCGTCCTGAAGTGAGAGAAAACGGACTCCTATGACGGAGCACTCAAATAAACATACACATAGTTGTATAATGCAATATTATGCAATATTAACCCCTAAATCGGTTAATTCGGACAATCGGCTAAAACAGACACCCTTCCCCCCTATTAGTCCGTTTTAACAAGGGTCAACTGTATATATATATATATATTTTAAACTACTGTACAGTGATCCCTTGGTTGACGAACACAATTCATTCCAGAAGGTCGTTCGTTAACCAAATCCAATGTTTCAGTGGCATATCGGGTAACTGGTTTCAGCTCACCGAAAAGTGCATACAAAG